TCTCATAGGCCTGTGGAGATCCAGTTTGGTCTCCTTGTAAGGAGGCAGACTTAGCTGTATCCTTACCTTTGCCTTTTGCCTTTGCGCCTTTGAAGGAGCTTCCTTTATCTCCTTTGTCCTTTCCTTTTCCTTTGCCTTTTCCACCTTTTCCTTTTTCCTTTCCTTTACCTTTACCGAAATAGCTGGAATCAGTTGGATCATGTTCTGCCTGGTTGGCTCTCCCTTTTCCGCGGTATGACCTAAAACGGCCACGTCCTTTTCGCTTGCCACCCTTTGCTCTTCCCGGTGATCCGGGACGCATTCTTGGTCTTCTTCCCTTTTTGAATCTCCTTGCAACGAAGGCCTCATGGTCATCAACTGTCCAGAAGACAGCTTCTTCATCCTCGGCGGCAAGAAAGCCTTCCTCAAGGGTGTCTTCGTCTTGGAGCCAGAATCCATCGACTCCATCGTATTCACCCTGATCGAGGATGAGGAAGTTTCGACCTCCGCGTTTACGGCGTTGGTCTCTCCTTCCATGGCGGTCCTTCTTGTGAGAAGAGTGCCGAATGTTGGGATCCTGCAGACCAGTTCTGGTCGTTGAGAACTGATCGAACATGGTCTGCCGTACCACAGGGTACGTGTAGGTCTCAATTCGGTGACCTTGGTTGGTCAATGCTGTTACCAACCTCTCACGTTGCATCTCATTTAGGTCGGACTGCACTAGGAAGAGGAGAGCTAGGAGATTATCGTTCAGAGGAAACGCTCTTCGATGATTGTCAAGGCGTTCCTTGTTCCATGTTTCGAAATAGCGTGCGGCATATGTGTCTCTCTCGGCTGCATCCTGCATGCGCAAGAAGGTTTGGTCTGCCTGCACAGCTTGCATGAAATCTGGATGGGCATCCTCCAGAGCTATCTCTGGTAAGAGATCCATCCATGAGTTTTTCACGCGCTGTAGCACGATCTCAAACTTGGCAATCCAAGTCACAAAGTCTTGGTTGCCCTTCCATGCCTTGAATAGGCCGAGGAAACGCCACAGGAAAACGTACTGTTCTCCTTTCACGAAAAATGGACGCATCTTCTTCTTGAAGTAATCTACTCCATCTGGGGCTGCAAGCCTTTCTCGGTTCAGTGATTCCTTTTGTACTGCGGCCAATCCGGAGAGCCTCGTCTTGAGAGACGGACCTCTTTTGGTGTCATCCAGCGTTGTTATGTCGCACCAGTCGTCAATCAACTGTTCATACTCAAACCACGAGGTGGTGCCATCATAGGCAGGCGCGATCTTGGGCGTTATGCCTAATGATGCAAGCATGCGGTCAGATGTTGCATATGACTGTGCGACATAAGTGGCTGGACCTTGGGAGGTCTCTTCGTTCTCATATCCCCCGGAGGATTGGGAACTGTCGTCGGCTTCGCTATGCGAGCTCGACATTGTGCTGCCTCTTATCCGCTTGGTTAAGCGTTCGGCGAGGCCGACCGCTGTAGCGGACTTTGGGAGGCGGGCGGCCCTTTCCGGGCTCCGCTACCAGAAAACTGAGCCGATACACCCACAAGGAAATGCTCCTTGTTAGGAGGTGTATGACCAGTTTATTCCCTAAGGATCAAAGGGCAGCGCCCTGCACACGGACAGTAGTTGTTTTGTCTTGCTACGCAAGGAGAGCTTGTCTTGTCTCAATATGGTAAAACCACTGTGAGCCAATGGGCAGCGGAATGTATATGTATGAGCATGCAGCCATTGCTGTAGGTACCTGTTAGAGCTACCCCTTTAGAGGTTTACGCAAACAGTGGGGCCCACCCTCCCGCCGCCAGCCTTTTACAATTCGTGCGCATCTCTCCAGTCTGTCAGAATGGCCATCGATTCATTGGGATCTCAGTGCTGTTGTGGTCTTTTGGCTGAGGGCCCAGAAGAAGGCTTTTACTTCCCGGTGCACTTATGGCGCTACGCCCATCTTGAAGCGTGGGACACCAGAGCCAAGGTTCTCATTCATCACCTTGTGGCCCAAGTCGGGTACAAAACAATGCCTGATAGGAACCGTGCCTGGTCGACTAGGCGACCCCTGGGCTTGGCACGCTGGAAAAAGCTGAAGCTGACGCCTTCTTGGCGCAGGACTCGGCCCTGGCATTCAAATTCCTTTCAGATCCTCGGAACTCATGCCGCATCTCCATGCGCCCGATCTGGATATGCATTTACCGTTTGCGTGAGATGTATGCGGAGCGCAATTTCCAAATGTTGTACCTTTTGCACGAGTCGCAATTTCCGCTTGGCTCCTTGGTAGGAGTTTTTTCTTTTGCGAAATGCATCTGTGACTGCCGATCGCCAGGTCGACTTCGCACCATGGAGGAGCAGAACCCAGGCCAGCCCCATGTGTGATTCGCTGCTGTTTCTGTGAGGCTTGTTGTGGGGAGTGACGGCTGAAGATATAGATTCTGTTCTGCAGCAAAAAATTTTTAACAACCTTTTTTTAACAAAATTTTTAACTGTTAAAAATTTTGGTTTTAAAAGGAAATAGCTTTTTAAAACCAAAATTTTTAACTGTTCAAAAATTTGTTAAAAAAAAGGTTGTTAAACATTTTGGGGGGCACTTAGTGGGCCCAGGTCTGCGTCCGCAGAGCGACCATGATCCTCCACATTGGCATCGGCAGCTATACCCAGCCAGGTTCTCGGGTCCTTGGGGTTCAAGTTCGGCAGCAGTGCTTGGACTTTGTGCAGCCCGGCCCTGCGATGCCAAGGCCCGATTGTGGATGAAACAGCAACTGAGCTGGCACATGGGAGGCATGAGGCAGCGACCTGTGCTTCATTTGCCGTTGCTGGCTTTGCAGTTGATGAGAAGACTTTTCTCGACCCGCTTGAGTGCATTTGCTCTGTGGTTTCTTAACGACACGTTTCATTGTTCCGAGCAATGCTTCCAGAAGTTTTTGTATGAATGGCATCTTCGTTATGTTGCTTATTGGAATGATACGTACTTTCTGAAGTGTCGCTCGGTCTCTGGAAGTTCCATCTCCTTGGCGAGGAGATTAGGTGCTGACATGCGTTGGTGGGAAGCGACTATGATTTGGACGATTTGTGATCTGCCGGCGAATGGCTGGTGTTTTGAAAAAAAAACAAGAAATTGCATGCACTGCAAGCACTGCATGCATCCATGATCATGCCGTTGCCCTGGTGTGCCACCGTCCTCGAATCTTTGCATGAATTTAATGTTCTGATGATGCAATGTCTGCTATAGATCGAGCTTAGCTCACGAATTGTGAGGAGTTGGCATTCCTGTGGCTTGCTCCGGATTGATGGCTCCTAAGACCACGACTAAAGGTCATCAGAAATTGCTGGCCAAGGCCATGGCTGCCAAGAGCAAGGCTAAGCCGGCTAAGCAAACCGGCAAGATTAAGGCCGAAAAGACGACGCCCAAAAAGAAAGCCAGGGCTGCGAAGCTGGAGCCCGAACAGGAAGAGTGTGAGCAAACCGCGACGACCGGTTTGGGGTATGCTCGGGGCAGCATCTCTGCTGCTTTGACAGGGCTCCGCTATCAGCTCAAGGCAAAGAAAACTACGGATCAGGAGAAAGAAGATGCCCGGCAAGTGCTCGAGGACCGCCTGCATCATGTGCCGAGGAATTCCGTGCCATGTTATTGTTTTGAGCTCATTGTTGTCGTTCCGTTCATGCTCCTGGGCAGGAGTACGAAGCCGGAGACGTCGAGACCAAAAGGACGACCCTTGCCAAGGTCCAACAGTTCGGGGTCAAGAATTGCAACTGGGTGCATCAGATGCAGAAGTCGACCGTGACGACCAACAGTGAATCCGAAAGTACGGTCAAAAATTGGTACACTCGGTCGGATTTTCGGTGGCATTGTTGTAAGATTTTGTTATTGTTGGATTTTGTTTTTGTATTTTCATGATTATTCAGCCTGCATGCACAGTGCATGCAGGACGGCGATTTTCAAGATCGAGGGTATCGATGAAACCGGCTTGGAGGAGGCTACGAAGCAGGAGCTGCTCGAAGAGCTGATGTCCGAAGCCGAAAAGCGCTACAACTACGAAAGATCGACCAAGATTCACCCCAAGTTCGAGGTGCTCAGCAAGTACTTCTACGTGCGCTCGAAAGGACAGGTTGCCCGGCAGGCCACCAAGACGGAGGAGTCGCTGGGAAGCCAGTGTGCCGGCATGAAGAACTTGCAGTTGAAGGACAAGAGATCCATCGACATCATGTTGGGCAAGGTCGATACTGCGGGCAGCAGCAGTTCCAAGGATCCGGCCAAGCAGCCCAGCGAGAGCTATGCCAGAGCGAAAGAGCTTTTGAAGAAGATCGTGAGCGAGAAGAAAAAGTTGACCCAGGCCAAAGAGGACCTGAAGTCCTTGAAGACCAAGATTTCCACCAAGTTCAGTGGGGATAAAACATGGGATAATCGCAAGGACGACGTCGATCGGGCGATCGCAGCTCTGGAGGACTTCTTGGGTGTTCTTCGCCAGCACGAGGCCGAGAGTGTGCCGGAGGATGTTACTTCCGATTGCACCGAGCTTGTGGCCACCTTTCACAGTGTCGTGGACCAGGCTAGCAACCACGACAAAGGCAGCAAGGCCCGACCAGGAAAGTCAATGGCTCGATGGAGTGATCGGCCCTAGGCTTGAGATTCATCACCCTCGATGATATTATCCGGTAGGAGTACAGGCGTTGTTCCAAGTTCGCCTTGAGACGGAGCTCCTTGGCAGGAGAGGCTGCACTGACCTCGCAGTGGTAGAAAATGCGTGCATGCAATGCTTATTCTCGCATGTTTGCAGCTATGAGACCCGTGAGTGCTTGCAGACTTTCTGTAGCTTCTTACATTCTGCAGGCTCGGCCCCATGTCGCACAGACACGTGCGCATAGCTACTTCGATCTAAGTAAATTCATATGCTAAGACAGTGTATGTTTATAATATATATATATATATATATATACTGTATATATGTGATTTCCGCATGTATTTTGGATTAATTCTTGACTGTCCAGGCATTGTTCTGTAGGGTTCGCTTCGCTTCGAGACTTGCCGGCAATGTTCAACCAAAGATCTTTGACAAAAGAAGATGTGCAGGCCGTTGCTCCTGCAAAACGATTCAGGTCCGAGATGGTCGACATATTTTTAAACAATGAGCTCAGTTGTGAGCGAAGCGCTCGAGTACTGCGGTCAGCACAGGAAGCCGGGGCACTGCATGTGGAAGACTTGCAGGTCCGCCCAGAGACTCGCAACACCCATCGGGATCTTTTGCGGAAATGTTTCAGAAACACGAAATGGCCTTCGTTATATCGTGCAAAGGTTCGTGGCTGGAATCAGGCGAAGAACACGTCTGAAGAGTATTCCTTGGCAATGTTGCTGCCTCACGAATCCTTGCACTCACTGCTCAAAGTGAACACGCCAGAGGCCTTGCTTCAGCAGCAAGCCGAGATCCTGCCTGACAGGCCTGACCTGGAGAACCACTTGCATTTTTTGGAGGATGAGTTGGGCTTGGATTCTGAATCCACTCTCCTCATGGGCATGTGGTGCGATGGTGTGCCTTTCAACAGCGACCGATCCATGACTTTGGAAACTATTTCTTTGAACATCTTTGGCCAGCAGAATCTTCGCCTGCCTGTTGCGGCCTTTCCAAAAGAATTTGCATCCAAATCGCAAACTTTTGAGGATGTATTCGAAATCATCCAGTGGTCCTTTAAGCAGCTGGCGACGGGGAGCATGCCAAGCTGCCGACACGATGGCCGGCCCTTCAATCGAACCGATAGTTACCGACAACGTTTGGCAGGCAAAAAGCTTCCACTGAGAGCTGAGCTGCTCTGGCTGAATTTCGAGCTGATTGGAGCTGTTACAAGGACGTTTTGAGCTTCCCTTCTTGGAGTTCGAAGGGGTTTGTCTGTTGGCGGTGTATGTGCCCCCGAGCTGCTTTGAAAAAAGTTGATACTCAGAATTTCGCCAAGCATCTGGGATTGATAGATTCAAAGTTTTATATCTTTTGGCACACGTAACAAATGAATGCATAGATATATACCCTAGCATGATACAGTCGACTCCTGGGAAGGAGTCAATTAACCGGTTCGAAATATCGCCACCAGGAAAGACTTTTCTTTTAATTTCGACGTGTGAGGCATGCTAGACAGTTGAAGTCGATCGGTTATTCCTGGCAGTTGCCTTTGCCTCAGGTACCCTGTCATTTCCAGCATGGACTTCTTCATGCGCCAGAGGCAGCAGAATCAATTGGTGTCGAGATTATTTTCTTGCCCAGGATTCAATACGGCTTGCTGCAAGATGGACTTTTTACACGCTTGCGACCTCGGAGTAACATCCGACTGGCTTGGGTCTTTGCTGTTTTACTTACAGAGTGAGAAGATCCGAGGCTTGAGCAAACTCCTCCGATGTGCCAAGCTGTACCAAGACATCAAGGCATACTACGACAGAACTGGGGTCCAAGATCCATTGCCGAAGCTCCTTCCCACCATGCTTCGTGAAGAGGATCGAGGCAAGATCAAATCCCCCAAGTTGAGAGCCAAAGCAGGGGAAGCTCGAGCACTCGTCGGTGCTGCCATGGAATTGGCTACAAAGTATCGCCAGCAAATCCTGCTGAACAGGCGATGTTGCATGGCACAGAAGCTTTGCAGTGCATATATGCCTGTCTCAGCAGTGCAGCTTGGGACAAGGAAGTCTTCAGAGTTTCTTCTCAGAAGTTTCTTTTACTCTGGGGCAGCCTCGAGACTTACTTCGAAGTGGACAAGCTCTTCAGGGTTAAACCTAAAGCCCATCAGCTGTTCGAATTGGCCAGGGGCGAGGTGAACCCTAGCAAGACCTGGACCTACAGGGATGAGAGCTATGGGCATACCCTAGCATTGCTGGGCAGACGGCGTGGTGGCAAGTTTTCGATGTATGCTGTTTCTTGTCAAGTTCTCAGACGATTCCTGGCAGCTAATAAAGTTCCTCGACTCGAGATCGGCACGTGATCCTTGGGAGGAAAAAACACGTGCAGTCGATCGTCCGCATGCGTTTATATAATTGGGATGCATATACAGAAAATAACATTTCTTAATTAAGCATTGTTTTTGTCATTTACATACCATGCTTAAATAGACACTATAGTGCTTAATCAAGATGAAATTAAAGATATCTAAAAATTATTTAAACATCTTTGGAAGCTCTGGGCCTGTTCCAGGTCCTGGGTTTGGCGATGTCGAATTTTTCTGGTTCCGATTTCACTAGACCACTTTCCGACCATGAGACCTCTTAATCTAGGACATGTCCGGTTGTAGATGTCGAGCGTATTTTGTGCTGTTGACCCAGGGTGGAAGACGGTGTGAAGACGCTTTTTGTGGCTGCAGCAGAAACCACTTGATGACATGTCGTCCAACGCAGCCTGCTTCTTGCACATAGCTGCACATTTGTGTGAAAGATGCGAAACGGAGGCGAGAATCATCGCCTGTACTTTCACAAGCGATGCAAACTTCAGTACGTTCGTGGAACAATGACCCAAACCCTGGCCTCAAAGGTTGCTGTTGTTCGAATTTCCGTTTGGACATGTTGTTCAAAGCGTGCATCGATGACAATGCATTCGGGGTCGTCATTGGTGGCTGCACCTGCGCTGGCTCAAAGGAGCGTTAGCCGTTAGCGGCATCCAAGCAAACCGGCATTCGCATAGCAACGACCATGGAGCCACGGAACGTGGAGGAGATTTCTTTCGGCTTGCAGAGCATCCATCTTTTGTTGACACACACCACATACATGTATAGATAATGCATGTGCATTCGTGTGTATGCCGCCGCTGCAAAGATATGCTGACCGTATACTGTATGTAGAAGTCTATGAAATTTGCAGGCAAAGCGTGCACACACAGAGACATGGTGCACGCATGCTTGTATGACCGTATCTGCATATGCTGCAGCGGACATATTTGAGCGTTTACAATTCAATTCTGTGCTTGTGTACATGTAGTAACATGCATGCAACATTCCATGAATCACGCCTTGCCTTATGTACATACGTGTGACTTGCACATTTTTTTCGCTGAATACAGTTTGAAACATTCGGGTTTTGTGATTGTTAGTTATTGTAGGGTTTCCCCACCTTTACCTCCTATGTAAGTATACGGATGCTTGATGCGCAAGTGCAAATTCCGAAACAACATACACAGGTGACACAGGAACTTTCGCGTAATCGTCCATTGTCGTACATGGTTTTCCTCAGATTTGCCTTCTGTGCTTCGAATCACGGTAACCAGCTGTTTTCGGCTTTATTTATTGTCAGGAATGGTTCGATTTCACTCCAGATTTGTTGTTGGACGACAGCTGGGTGGAGGTGGACATTGCAGAGTGCTTTATCTGCATTTATTATACCCCACATGCCAACATTGTTTCACTTTCTTGTTGGAAACGCGCGTCAGGCATTCGGCTAAAGCTGCCATATACCATTGCGAATGCCAGTGGGGTGGTCATTTGGTCAAATTCGTGCTGAGCGGTGTGGTTGTTCGCAACCCACCCCTGATTAAAAGCCATGTGTCTTGGTCGAAGACAAAGTGCAATCGCAGCCGAGAATCTTTGACCCTTTTGACACCAATTTCAGCAACATGTGATCCTCGAGAGGCCCTGGTGCGGCCAGAAATCAGGCCCGGGTTTGTAGAGCGGTTCATGCGTGTTTTTTCGCAGCTGTGTTGTGTGACAAACTGTTTCACGATGTGAGCGGGCAGGGCCCTGCATCAGAACACGTCGGAGGTGACTCGTGATTCTTTGGGTTTAGTTTATGTGCACTTCTGTGGAACTTCGGCTTTCTGTTCCCGCTAAGCTTGTCAGATTTGCGGCGCACACGCCAACCAAGGCTGGCTTCGCACCCGAATTGCTGGAACTGCATGATCCTGGTACTACGACTGTGCAACAGTTTTCCTCCTGGGGCTTGCTTCGACTGGGCAGTCTCTGAGCTTGCAATGCTCTCAAATTTGTCACGCACAGTGCGATCAGAAAGCAGAGCAAAGATAGCTTGCCTGCCAGTCAAGAGCATCGGTCAGGTCTACTTTTTGCCGATCTAGAAGCACCATTCCGGAAGAATTCGAGTGATTTGCGGTGCTCGTCTGCCGCAAGCTATCAGAACCTCCGGCGTGACTATCCGGATTTCGGTGACAGCTTCTTGGTGGTGCATGCTCAATGCTTTTCTCAAGCTCAGTTTCGGTCCAAAACTTCTCAGGGACTGCAGCTAAGGCTCGTTATCTTTCTACCAGGATGGAGTGGGTCGTGCTGGTCTGTTGGTATGCCATCCGTGTGAAGAGGATGGCAGGTTTGATGTGATTGGTGTTTTCAATGTGCCGCATGAGAAGCCGCTGAGACTGTGTCTTATTGATATTTGTGAGAAGTTGCAAGCGAACGACATGGTTTGCATGTTGCTTCTGAAAATGTTGTCAGCGAGGTTTGAGTATTGGTCTGCAATTCACTTCAATCTTGTCTTGGAGTCAGCGCAAAGAGTCGCAGACGTATTCTTGAATGGCAGCGGGCTTATTGGAAGCATGCATAAAGCTGGAGCGGAGGAAGCTGTGGTAGACGGGTCGGTCAAATTCTGTTCTCTCCCGCAATCGGTATCGATCCTTCGTGGTGCATCTGATACAGTCCTCTTCAGTCTCAGCACATAGTGAAGCCGGGTTGGTTTGCTTGCTTATCGAGGTCCGACCATTTCCACGATGCGTGAGAGTGATGAATGTTTTTACATTGCTCCCCAGCTCGATTAGTTCGATTATGTTTTGATGGCACCGCAGAGTTCGGCAACAGCAGCTGGATTTCAGGTTTTGACGATACAGAGTTGCAAGCGTGGCTTGCCTCTGGTTCCATTGGTTACAGACGAGCTGCCCACGACCACAATCGTTGCAGGAGTTGTGAGAACACGCCAGCGAGCATAAGTTGAGTCGAGCAGATACTCGTAAGTCTCAAGTTGCACGCACGTTTCGCTCGTTTTCGGCTGCTGCGCTAGACACAGCAGCTCCTATCGGTGCATAGGGAGGGAATTTACGTAAATCGCAGGGGATCCGATGGAGCTTTTGCAGGGTCTAGTTCGTGGCAGCGTAGACTGGAAGAAACCCTGCTTCAAATTTGGGAACCCGATGAGACATCAGGCGCATCAGTGATCAGTGTAGACTGCAAAGGAAGCTGGGGCCTTTGCTGTGCGACTGCCGAGACGTATGTTGGAATCGTTTCCAGGAGAACGCCTTGGTCTGGATCGCTGGATCCGTGACGTGACGAGAAAGCTGTTGTGCGAATTCTTCGCAGTGCGGGTCACTGCCTGCTGCTGCGTTGCTAGGTTTCAACCCGGAGTCGGTTGGCAGCTCAAAGTTCTACCTGTCGGAGCAGCACAGTTGCAGAGTTGCGATGTACTTGTTGTACTGGTGCTGCAGATGTTCAGGCCGTTTGCATCCGTCATGAAAACCCAAACAGGTACATCAAAGTACTGCTGTCCAATGTTGGGGAGAATATTGACGCTTACAACTCCATGGATGGACGTACTCTTATGCCCTATCAGTGTGCCGTACGCCGCGAGCAGTGGATCTCGTTGAGGCTCGGACGGTGCTGCTCTTGCACAAGTCCACGGGAACGCATGTTTCCGGAAGAATGAAGTGGGAAGTGGGGTGTTGCACGGCGATGTTTTGCGCGAACCTTGAGGACACGATTCGTTGAAGTCTTCCTCTTGCAGAAAACTGCTACTTGGATTGCAACATGTCAGGAATCATTGCACAGAGCATAATGATAGCTGCCCTCGGTGTTTTGTTGCGTAAACTGGTGTCCGGGCAGCGTGCCTTGCGCCAAAGACCTTGCTCACTTAAGGCTTACCGGCGTGCCAATGGCGGGTCCACTGCTCCAAGCATG